TGTCAGACATGTTGAAAGTTGAGATAATTGTTTCAGTCTCAGAGATGTCATTGGGCATATGGAAAGAGTCATCACAATGTTATCTTGTTCCTAGCGTCCTAGTTACAACTTGAGGAAATACAACTGACTGAGAGTCAGTCTATAGGAGATATTACAGTAACGATTAAAGATTGGTAATTCTCCAATTTTAAATTCAAGTACTGGGGTCATAGTGAAAACACAGAAGTTAGCTCATTTCCTTTGGAAAATTGGCATTTATGCCTCTGACTTATCACCCTATAGTTGTATGTTCTATATAAAGGTTTCTCTTTCCATAATATCTTTCAGCTCTTCTCTTGCCTCACTTAACGTGCTTCTCCTTGCCTTCCTGTAATAGATGAATCTGAAATACATTTTAACTTTTTCAATTAAGAATCCTATCAATCCTCATGAAAAGTGATCACCATACCAGAAATTATACCACGTAATTATGCTGAAAACTGGATATTCCAATTTTGCTCCAGTCAGTGAACCAGAGAAATCCTAGTCCCCCCAACAAGTCCAATGTTATTGATTTGAAATTGAAGATCATCATAGTAGTCATCGCACTACAGTGTTGGTATGTAGAGTGCTACATTTTGCATTTAGGAAAGTATTATATTTTGGAAGAGAGAAATGCTGAATAAAATCTAGTTCAGTAATACAAATATTTGATTCATCACTGAACTATTTAGAAAGGATAGTTGACAATAACTTACTGATATTCTTGATTTACATTTTCAGACATTTACCATGGCGCATTTTCATTATGGTTCTGAACTATGTCTTGTGGACGTTATTTTGCATAAATATGTTTTCAGAGTGCCATCTCTAAAAAACAAAGTGAACCAGTTTTATAAAGCTTGCCTAATTAAAGACGTTTCTTGTTTATCCTATTTAGGTTATACTTTCCTTAATAAATTTAAATTTTTTTCCTTTTAAATTTAATAATGCCTCCAAGAATGTTTATTATCCTGCCTGGGACTATTGGGGGACTATAAAAATTGGTATAAAATTGGTATAAAACTGTTTACTGTAATTAGAATAACACTTGTGGTAAAAAATGAGAGGAAGTGGGCCGGCCCCGTGGCTTGGCGATTGGGTGCACGTGCTCTGCTGCTGGCGGCCCGGGTTCGGATCCGGGCGCGCACCGACGCACCGCTTCTCTGGCCATGCTGGGGCTGCGTCCCACATACAGCAACTAGAAGGATGTGCAGCTATGACATACTGTTATCTACTGGGGCTTTGCGGGAAAAATAAATAAACAAATAAAAAAACTTAAAAAAAGAGAAAAATGAGAGGAAGAGAGAAAGCATTATCTTAATGCAACTAATAGAGTAAAACAAGACCATAGAGGGGGGTTTTTTGTGTGTGTGTGTGAGGAAGATTAACCCTGAGCTAACGTCTGTTGCCAATCCTCCTCTTTTTGCTGAGGAAGATTGGCCCTGGGCTAATATCCATGCCCATCTTCTTCTGGTTTATCTTCCTCCCCACGGCATGGCTTGACAAGTGGCAAGTTGGTCCCAGTCAGGGATCCAAACCTGCGAACTCTGCACCGCCACAGCAGAGCACGCGCACTTAACCACTATGTCAAGGGGCCAGCCCGAATAGGCTTTCTAGATGATGATAAATATAGTTCTCTTAGCTGAGGTGGTATTTGACAGTCTTACATATCTATAAGTTTCTCTTACAGTGCTTTTACTCCTAAATATATACAAATTATAGTAAACTGGTTCCCATCAAACTGAGTGGAATCCTAGCCATGCACGCTGCTCATTATCAGAAACTCACAAGGAAAGGAACAAAATACAGTGAATGTGTTGCATATTTAGGCTACTGCTTATAAGAATAGCAGTTAAGAGCAAGGAATTTGGAGTTATACAGACTTGGATTTTACCACCTCAGAGTCTGGTAATATGGTTATCAATGTATAGGTGCAATCTATTTCCATACAAACCCTATTAGAGTAGGTGTTTTTTTTCCCCTCCATCTCTTTTTAGCTTGTTATCTTAAAGTATGGTTAAATTGTCTTATGTATTCAGACAAAAATTGAATTCGTATATGGATATTCTTTTGTAATTATGTTTGGGAATAGGGAGGTAATGTAAAAAAGAAACCCAGAAAATAGTGTGAGTTTTTGGAGAAATCTGGTCTTTAAATAAGATGGAAATAGTGACATTAAGTGTGAATCAACTTGGTAAATACTGAATGAAAAGACTAGTTACTGTTCAGTAGGATTTGGTCACTTTACCTAATTTTCAGTACTTTGAGTAAATAACCACATGGATTAAATTACTATATGTGAGTTTCCTTCAAGATGAGAAAAACTTGCTTTACTTTGGGCTACTGACTTACTCTACTAATTTAGCTCTTGAGATCTAGCCAGAAGAGATTTTTGTAGTAATGAACTTATTTTTGGCTTGAGGTATAAATTGCAGAAGGTGTACCTAGATTGGAGATAGTCTTTTTCTTTTTCTATTTGCCCCAATACATGGCTTCACAGTCTCCGAAGTGCTTGCTTGGTTGACCAGCTGGGTGGCATGGGGTTTGACCCGTGGTCAAAAGGTGATAGGTACGTTTGAAAACACTTCATTGAGACTGCAACTGTTTCTGTGTCTTGATGGTTAGTGCCTAAAGCTTATCTAATGAAGCCTGTGTAATGCCAATTAACAATGCCCAATTAGATATTCTCTCTGGCTTTCAAGTTTTCTCTTGGAAAGCTTGGAGAGGAAAGCATCTCTTTCTTCTAGATGACAAGGATTTGAAAAATGGTGATGGCAATGGAATGTTGGTTGTCCTTTTCAAGAACTTAAAGAGATCACAATTAAAAACTTTAGCAGTCAGCAAAAAATCTTTTTTCCACTGGATGTCTTGGAAAGAAAAATTGGAAATGTCTTCCTATATGCTACTTTTTTGGTTAATTGCTGGAAATAACTATAATGGTGATAGCTATCATATTTTGACTCTTTTTTTTTAATGTACCATGCATTGAGATAAGCACTTGACCTACTAAATATCATTTATTCTTTACCTGATCCTAATACTAGATTACTTTATTATGACCATTTAAAGAGGGGCATGCTACTTTTACCTTTCTGAATCTCAGTCTCTTCTTCTTTACAAACAAAGTGATAGGCGGAGTTGGAGATTTTAATTCAGGTCTGTTTAACTCCAAAGTCCTTGCTCTTACTGCTATTCTTACATGCAGTAGCCTAAATATGCAATAAATTTGTTTTACTTGTTTTTTTTCCTGGTGAGTTTCTGATAATGAGCAATCATCATAGTTTGTCTTCTACTCGGTTGATGGGAACCAGTTTATTATAAGACGTGCTTTGAGTGATGTTATGATGGTTCACATCCAGGGCAGAAACAATTGTCGGAGGGTATATAGGGCAGCAAAGAAGGAGCTATGTTTGCTTCTGAGAGAAATTGAGCACTGATTTTCTGAGTGTAAGCAAATATAGGAGAAAGGAATACCAGCCAATAAAGACAATGAACCTTAATAATCTAACTACATTAGCGGGAGTGACTATCTTATTCAATGCCTTCGTGGTGTCAAATCCTTCTGTAGCTCCCCATCGCCTTCAGGATAAAACCCTCTGTGCTCCTTGTATTTGAACCTTTGCCTGCTTGTCTATGAGTAATAACGACGACAGTAATAGCTGAAATGGCCAACACTTACGGCTCTCACTTTAAATGAATGGTGGCAGATACCAACAATTTTTTTTTTTTCACCATCTCTGCTCGAGTTGAAATAATCCTTTTGATTCTTTACAATATACAAAGGGAATAAATGGACTAACTGATTGTGGCAATAGTCTTTCATTAATCCTATGAGTTTTCAGGCTCTTGGGATAAAGTATTCACGTGTATTATCTCATTTAATTCTTAAAGCAATCTTCATCATTGTTTCCCAGTTGAGTAAACTGAGTCTCAGAGACATTGAGTAATTTGCCCAATGTCACACAGCTGGGTAAGGGATGAAGGCTGGATTGAAACCTGGGTCTGCAATTTTAAACCTGGTGTGCTGAACCAGAAAATAATTAGAGCCTTATAGAAGATTGTCTGACTTAGTTTTCTGATTTTAGACAAAGATGAATCACAAACAGACAAGGCCAACTGTGGCCTAAAGATGTGTACTGTTTGGTGATTAAACGTATTTGATTTGGGAGCTGCCTTTTTCCATTCTTTTTTTTTTTTTTTTTTTCCTTTTTGCAGAAGGCCCCATGTCTATCACTGGGCTGCTTTACACACCCAGCTTTCTTGCCAGGCACATAGAGATATTTGAGTTTATGACTCTGCTCTCAATGGTCAAGAACAGATGCTTTGCTCTTTCCTTGAGTGTTGAGAAATGAAGATTCCACAACCACTTTCCCCTGGGATGTTTTGTTACCCTGCCAACATTTAAGAAATATTGCTTGCTTTTAGTTTTAATCAATTTCCTCCTCCCTTATCCAACCCTATCAATATATAGAACAACTGCTCAGAAAACAGTTGGTTTCCAAGAATACAGTTATTAAATTAAATGCTCCCTTTGCATCTTGTGTTTAAACGTTTCCCCCATGTAATCCAGTCTTCCCTTTGACATTGCAGATGGCTGACAGGTAGTTAGCTCCTCTGACTGGCAGATTGGTGCCTCTGCCACATGGGAGTGTCATTAACAGTAAAATTAACACCTCTGGCTTGGATTTATTTAGCATCTTCTGACAGTCAAAAGAGCGAGGGAACACATGCCTTGCTTTCCCTTGGGGTGGTCGAGTATTAGATTAAACTGCTGGTAGGAAATATTTGAGTGTCCTCAATAAACAGATTTTGTGTTTAGGTACATTGATATTTTTTGAAGTTCTTTATTGCCTTCATTTTCAAAGTTGGTTTGAGAGAGCTTTTACCACTTTTGGAAGTTATATGTCATTACCGCTTTCCTTGTTGTTTAAAAAAAAAGAATTTAAAATCAGCTACCAACTCTGGATTTTCTTTTTCAGATGCAAAAGAAATTGTTTTAAAAGCCCAGATCTTAGCTGGAGGAAGAGGAAAAGGTGTCTTCAGTAGTGGTTTGAAAGGAGGCGTTCATTTAACAAAAGAGTAAGACTGGAGATTTTAATTCTTTGTCTTTGGGTCTAGCGATTATGGAAGATCTTGCTTGTGATTGAAAGGAGCACTGAAAAACAGGGTTGGGGTGGGGTTAGGAGCAAGAGGTAGCAAGTAGAGGAAACAAATTACAAGTAGAGGGCTCTGGCAGTGCCCGTTTTCCTTCTGCTCCCATAAAAGGATTTTTTTCACTAATTGGTGAAAACTTGACACGCCTTCTTTCCTAGACAATGATTTATCATAAATATCGAAAATGATACTTACCTACAAATTAAACGTTGCTTCCGTAATGTCACTCCCCTATTCAAGAACCTGCAGTGGCTCCCCATTACCAGTGGCATCAGTAGTCCCTCCTGTCTGATAGTCCAAGCCTTCCTCTATCTGAGCCTGTCTGTTCAGCTTTAACTCACATGTCTCCAGCACTGAACACTTTCCTCTCCTCTCCACATACCTTTTCATTATTTACTTTGATCCTTACCCTCTCCTTTTCCCTCTCATGAGTCAGTACTTCCCAAATTGCCCCCATCAAGTCTTTGTTATTCAACTCTTATCTAAATCTGTTATGCATTTCTGCATTGTCTCATCACTATGACTAACTTATTTGAGAGTAGAAGATAGCAGAGGTCGGCAAGCAGCCTTCCTTCTTTCTCTTCCTTCCTTCCTCCCTTTCATTCATTCATTCATTCATTCATTCATATATATTTTGCTCTCAGTGAGCCTCTGGTACAGTACTGGGCACATAGTATATGAGGAGAAAACCCCATGGATTCCTTGAGAGTAGAGGTGGACCCTGTGCAGTGTAGACGTGAGGTTATAATATGGACTCTGCTTTAAAGTGATTTTCAACATAGGTGTTGATTTTCTTTTCTTTTTCTCCTAGTCCTAAAGTTGTGGGACAGCTGGCTAAACAGATGATTGGGTATAATCTAGCAACAAAACAAACTCCAAAAGAAGGTGTGAAAGTTAACAAGGTAATGTGAATGCTTTTGGTCATTTCCTATGTATGTGCTAAAAAAAAAGAAAAGAAAATCATACTTCTGTTTTGACAGAATCTAATGAAGCAGTGCACTTTGGCAATGTGCCATTTTATTTTTTAAACCTTGTATAATCTGTTTAGAATTTGGTATGACTTTGTGGAGACATAAAAAGGGTTCTATAATAGTTGCAGTGTTTATTATTATCAGCATTTAGCAAAAGTGGGTGGGTGAGTGACCAAAGAAATAGCTTTCCCTTTCAGAGCACAGACACTTTCTGTTTAAAGCTGGAAAGGTCTTGGTATGACAGCTCTTACAGTCAGTGAGGGACATTCTGTGCTCCTCTGCAGCCTCATCCTGTGTATCAGAATTACCTGTCATGGTTGTTTTTCTAAGTGTTCCTATACCTCACTTTGTGATTACTACCATTTAGAGCCACTGTTATTGCTGGGAATATGTATTAGGTCTGTTGGGCACCCAAGTGTATATAGGGCACATGCACATGTGTGCATTTGCACCACACACACGGAAAATAAAGCCCAGAGCAAAGTGGCCTGCCTCAGTCATGAAATTGTGAGTGGCAGAGCTGAGGCCAGAACCTAACTCTCCCTTCTATCCGTCTGTTCACCTTTGCTATGCCCTCCTCATGTATCAAGGCACCAGAACTGGCTACCTGATTTACAGGACCCAGTGCAAAATTAAAATGCAGGGACCCTTGTTCAAATTTCAAGTCAGCTACAGCAGAACATTAAACCAAGAGACCAAGAGCAGGACCCTTCTGAGCCTGGGGCCCTGCGCGACTACACAGGTCACACACCCCAGCCCTGGGAGACACAGATGGTCAGAAGTCCCCGTCATAACAATGAATTAGAACCCAGCATTTTGGGGAGACACCTGTCTGCTCTGTTGACACAGCATCACAGATGATGATCTCCACCAGTGTGCCATGCTTGGGGAAACTGAGGCAGTACATTCTATTTTTATTTTTCAGAGAGAGTTGTATGGAAAACTCTTGATATAATGGAAAAAAAAATCACCAGCTGGTTCTTAGCATACCATAGGAGGGTCTATCCTGGCCCAGAAAAGGGCACTGAGCTGGAGGGAAATGGGGATACTGGCGAGTCATTAGCTCCTTCACTCTGAGAACACAAAGCCTTTCTAAATGTTACAGAAGCAAACAGAGAAAATAGGTTATAGTTATTTCCCTTTCCCGCTGCCTCTCAGGTAGATGCAAACTGTTTAAAACTCAAAAGCGTTTTTTGTTTTTTTTCTTCCCACACAGTACTTTACTTTCCCCTTTAAATCTGGTTGTAAGCCTTTACCTGTGTAATTTCTTTAGAATTTGTCCACAGAGGACATGATTAGGATTTTTGTTTGTAGGAATTCGTTGTTTTATATGGACACATGGGTTTTTAGATTAGAGTTTGTGATATTTTTTAAACACATATAAAAATACACAAAGAAGATTTACGCTATATAGATAATGCATAAAATTAGTTTGTAGATAGGTTCCTGAAATATTGGAGATAAGTGCATTCTTATAAATTGAGTCATTGCCAGGAAACTACTAGAGTGATTTATTTTTAAGTAGTTTTTTTTCTGATTGCAAAAGTGGTTAACATATGTAAAAAATTCCAATAGTACAGAAATATAAAAATTAGAAAGTAGAAGTGGCTTGTATCTTCACTACCCAGAAATAATTGACATAATATTGTTTCTGTCCTTTTTTCTGTAAAATGTGTATTATGACATCTGTACAACAACATTATATATAACTTTAAGGAACATGCATTTTTAATTTATGGAATCTTGGTTATGAATCAAAAGTCCCTATCTTTTCATGTACCTGTTGGCCATCTGTATATCTTTGGAAAAATGTCTGTTCAGATCCTCTGCCCATTTTTCAATCAGGTTGAAAAGATGTTCAGTATCACTAATTATTAGGAAAATGCAAATCAGAGCTACAGTGACATATCACCTCATGCCCATCAGAATGGCTATTATTAAAAAGACAGGAAATAACAAGTGTTGGAGAGCATGTGGAGAAAAGGGAACCCTCATACACTGCTGGTGGGAATGCAAACTGGTGCAGCCACTATGGAAAACAATATGGAAATTCCTCAAAAAACTAAAAATAGAAATACCATATGATCCAGCTGTTCCACTTCTGGGTATTTATCCAAAGAACAGGAAAACACTAACTTGAAAAGATACGTACACCCATATGTTCCTTGCAGCGTTATTTACAATAGCCAAGTCTGAGAAACAACCTAAGTGCCCATCATTGGATGAATGGATAAAGAAGATGTGGTATATGTATACAATGGAATACTACTCAGCCATAAAAAGGATGAAATCTTGCCATTTGCAACAACGTGGATGGACCCTGAGGGTATTATGTGAAGTGAAATAAGTCAGAAAGACAAATACCATATGATTTCGCTCAAATGTGAAAGATAAACAAACACATAGATAAGGAAAATAGATTGGTGGTTCCCAGAAGGGAAGGGGTTGGGGGGAGGGTGAAAGGAGTAAAGGGGCACATGTGTAAGGTAACAGATAAAAACTAGACTATTGGTGATGAACACGATGCAGTTTATACAGAAGGTGAAATATAATGATGTACACCTGGAATTTATACAATTATAAATCAATATTATTACCTCAATATATTTGCAAAAAAGTCATCCCCAGATTATAGAAACTTCAGGTTTCTGAATTTGTTTGGGAAGCTATTTAAACAGATATATTCATCTGTACACATTGGATATTTTTTTCTCAATCTGTGCCGGTGTGTTTGGGTATCTTCCTTGGGATAGTAATAGGAGAAGTGAGACAGTGCTACTCCTCCTGTGCCTCATGATTCACTGTCAGTAATGGTTACTGCTCCGCAGTGAGTTAAGTTCAGAAACTGAGTATACGTTTAATCTTAGCTGATCACGGTCCTGTTATAAATAGTTTGTGCACTGGTACTCATCCACAGACCACAATTGGAGTAGCACAATATTAAAAACAAAGAAACAAACAAACATAAGGTCAATGGTCAAATAGGGTAAAGTAAGTAAAAAATCTTTCCATCCTGGAGGACTCCACAAAAAGCCTGAGTTGGTGATATTGTTTGTGTCAGTCACAGATGAAGCTTTTTGTGAAATGTATCTAACTGAGCTTCTCATGGGATGAGTGTTCCTGGAGTCCATTTAGAACAATTCTCATCGTATTCTGACATCCACACTCGTATGTAATAATGTCCAAAAATTGGTCTTTATATAAAATTTCTAGAATTATCCATCGATAATCATCATTTTCCTGGGGATGTTTTCTTATAGAGTGATACATTATTTCTACCAAGCAGGAGCTGTTTGAGACAGCAGCTGGTCTTTACAAATAGAAATTTGATGGAATGCAGAGCACATCTGTCAACATTTTAAAAGATTAAGAATAGGACTCTTGAATGACACTTATCCTAAAAAGTTATGATGTTGTGTTGCTTCTAAGAATAACTACTGCAAGTCATTAAATCTTATACATGAGTCTAGCTCTGTATTAGAAAGTGAACTTGAAATCAGAATGGTTCTATGATAATCCCAACACTGTGTGCCAAGAAATATTTCTTACATAGTCATGAGCTACCATTTGTGATGGAAGAATCACTGTGAAGCCCCTTATAAGGTATTTTATTTTTAACTGGTGATAAATTCCATAAAGATTTGAAAAGGAGTTCTATATTTATTACATTATAGCTTTTTAGATCATCATATATTTATCCCACTTCATGTGACTTAAAACTTAGGTTTTTGTGGCATCTGGGTATTTAAAATCTAATGCTGTTTAATCTGTGACTTTTTATGAAAGATATTACTGAAGTACTTTCAGGAAAAGCAATGTAAGTGCTTTTATTATTTTCGCTTCTAGTGCTGATTGTTTATGAATGTTCTTATTTTCTTTTAAAAATTACCCAAGTTTACCATTTTTGTTAGGAGTGTAAGTTGGTAATTTGATAGTATTTATCAAATTTGCTAATATTTATCAAAGTTTAAATATGAAGAGTTTAAAACTTAGCCATCTAAGGGCCGGCCCTGTGGCTTAGCGGTTAAGTGCACGCGCTCAGCTACTGGCGGCCTGGGTTCGGATCCTGGGCGCGCACTGACGCACTGCTTCTCCGGCCATGCTGAGGCCGCGTCCCACATACAGCAACTAGAAGGATGTGCAGCTATGACATACAACTATCTACTGGGGCTTTGGGGGAAAAATAAATAAATAAAAATTAAAAAAAAAAAACAACTTAGCCATTTTACTTCTAGGTACCTTATCTACAGGGATACTAAAACAAATGAACAAAGATATATGTACAAAAATAATCACTGAAGTAACATTTTAGAAAAATTGAAGTCCATGTAAATGTCTGTTAGTAGGGAGATGGTTAAATATATATGGACTTATAAGTACTGTATAGTCACAATGCAGAGAGGACCTTGGAAAGATGTCCAATTTGTAGTACTAAGATAAAAAAAAAGAAGAAAGAAAGAAATGCATTCAAGTATATATAATATGCTTCCATGTGCAGGATGATTCCATTGCTATAATGCTTGCAGATGGATAGACAAAAAGATAAAAAGTTAGTAGTGGTTTTTCCTGGCAGGGCTGCACGTGCTCCTGTTTAGGCTGTGCAGAACAAAAGGACACCTGGCTTTGGCAGTGAGTGGGGAATGGAACCCTTCCATCCCATTTGCCTCTTCCCCATTCATGGTCCTGGCATGTGACCACATCCTCCCAGAGAAAGGGGCGATTTTTTCTTTTTATCACAAATGTTCCATGTGGGCTCAAGACCACCCTGACTACTGGGGTCCAAGAGGTTTGGATGTGCGTTATGGGGCTGCTTTCACTCTCTCATTTATATTCTTTGGTATTGTTTGAGTTATTTTGGAACAAGCAAATGTTATGTTTGTAATTTAAAAGAAAGTAAAAATTGAAATAAAAATACAGTGATCTGAGAGACAGAAGTATACAAACATATGAAGCATCAGACATACTGTAAAAAGAATCTTCCTTTGGCAATCAAACTTGGTTTCCCACCAGTGCAATCTGAGAAAAATCAGTGTAGTAATATATATGTACTGTTAATGTCTCAAATTAAAATAACAGCTGCTTCCGTGGAGTTTTTCTTAAGTGTCAAGGTTTCTCAAGGAAAAAAAAAAGAAGATTAAAGTGGGAAGGTTCCTTGAGGCAAACCAAATACCTGTCACTTGAACAAGTTAACAGGATCAATTAAGGAGGTGAAAATAGTCATTGTGCGCCATGAGAGCAGAACTCTCCCATATCTGGAAGCTAACTCCCTGGGTTTAAAGAGCCTGAAAATGAAGCCGTTTGATTTGTGTAGCAAGTTCGATGGTGAATTAATTTGACTTTCCCACTAATGTGGTAGGTGATGGTTGCTGAAGCTTTGGACATTTCCAGAGAAACCTACTTGGCAATTTTGATGGATCGGGCCTCCAATGGCCCTGTACTAGTGGGCAGTCCCCAAGGGGGTGTTGACATTGAAGAGGTGGCAGCTACGAATCCAGAGCTTATTTTCAAGGTATGTTCAGCTTCATGGCTAGGCTTTGTTCATTGACTGTTGCTGTACAAGCTGTAGATTTAATGTGGAGTCTGAGACTGGTAGCTGTCATGTGTTTCTGGGATTTAAGGCATGAAGATGTGGAGTCCTTTCTCTTACTGGGTGTCCAGTTGAAAGTTGGGTAGAATCAAGGTATTCACTATTCAAGGTCTTGTTCTTTTTCCCTTCCTTCCTACCTTTTCTTGCTTCCTCATTCCTTTCTGTCCTGCTTGACCCAAGAATTAACCAGTGGGAGAGGATGGTGATATTTCCATTTCCTCTTGGTTAACTCTGCCCCATTTAACAGTATGTATAATCCAGAAGTGCTCTCCTAGGAGACCAGATGTGAACTAGAGACTGCCTTGATGTCTCTCTATAGTATTGATAGTATTGACTTCAGAAACCTTCTAAGGTCCTGATTCTGTGTTTGCTTGAATCATTTAAATCTTATCCCTATTATTGATATTAAGATTAGTTTCTAGTCAGAGAGGTCTGAGGTCATCCTAACTAGCCAGCAAGTTTCTCAATGTCTCTAAGCTTCATTTTTTGAATCAGTAAAATGAAATGGGGATAATTTCCACCCTGCAGAATTATGAGGGTTAAATGAGGAGATGTAGATAAAGTGCTTCTCAATCTACCTCAGCTATAAGAAGAAAAACCTAAGGTCGTTAGAACTATAATTCCAATTTTTAATTCTGGATTCTTAGTGTGGGAGAAGTCACATTAAAAATTTCTAGTGGAAATATTTATCATTTCTTTTAGAAAGTGATTCAAAAAGTGGGAATTTTGTTTCTTGAACCTCTTTGTTTAGATAAGGTACTAATACTTAGGTGATTAGTTTTAAAATATTTTCACCAGTGTGACATATTTAACTACCTTAGAAGTTGAATTGAGACTTTACATGCTGGCTTACCAATAATAACTGGCCATTTTCAAAATTAACTTATTTTAAAACAAGCTATTCCACTTGTTAAGATAATACATGAAATAATGTATATGAACAACACTCAGTAGTTTGGAGAGAATGGCACTTTGTAGAGATAAGGTATTATTAATAATTATCATTGTCAATAGAATGTTTAAATCGTAAGGTGATATTTAACCTATGTATGACAAGCTATAAACTTAGCAATATTAAGCAGGAAAACCTTACTTTGGAAACCTTCCAAAAGATGTCTTAAAAATTAACTGACTAAATATTCGTCAGTGCCATCTGTATAGTAATTAAAAATGAAACCTGGCATCCGATTGTCTTGTCAGCGTGCCACCTGAAGAATTATATAGTTTTTGGAAAGGCTGTTTTATAGATGGTCTGCTAATTAAAACATACCCTATAGGCAGCTGCGGTAGCCCCGCTCACAGATCTCTGGAAAGGTGCCACACTTTAATTACTCATTTGCAAATAAACACTAAGCATTTTCTTTTGAGGTTGTAAATCTTCTCATTTGACTGTCTGAATTTTGCTTATTTGATTCATTTTTACTAGGAGCAAATTGACATTATTGAAGGGATAAAGGACAGCCAAGCTGAGCGGATGGCAGAAAATCTAGGCTTCCTTGGGCCTTTGAAAAACCAGGTACCTGGGCGACTGGAGGCCATGGTGTCTGACCTATTTCAGAAAACATTTGGGAACTTGCTTAATTGCCTCTAATGTTTGTGATTACCAGGAAACAGGATTATTTATTGTTTTATATTTTTTCCTTCCAGTTGTTTATGATAAAGAAAAATATTTTCCCGGTGTTCCAAAAGAGGCTGTTTATGACATGTGTGTTTATATAGATAATGTCGGTGTTTGTGAGAGTGTGTGGCACACACAGACAAATATACTTTGTTATGTATGTTAGTCTCCTTATTTTTTTCCATAGCATTGCAGCTCCAGCCCATGAATTATAAGAGGCAGCATAGTGGTTAGAAGCACAGGCTGTAGAGTCAGGCAGACCTGAGTTTGAATCCTGTACTGCTACCCAGCACATGTGGGATTCAGCCCACCTGAACATCAGTTTCATCATCTGTAAAATGGGGATGATGAAATCTAACTGAGAGGGTGAGTGTGAGGATTGAGTACACTGATGTGTGCAAGTGCTTATTCAGTACTCCAGAGAGGTCAGTTATTATTGTTATTAATAATACACATTACTTAACTAATTGCTATTCTTTCGTAGCTAATGAGCATTTGAGATGAATATTAATTAATGACATGAAGGTGATATTTCACTGAAAACAGCTTAAAATATGCCAGTTTAGTAATTATATCCTTTGGCTTCAAAGACAGAAAAATCGTCCTCCAAGGTATTAAGGGAGAGAGTCTGTCTTGAGCATCACAGTCCTGCACAACCCTTAGTCCCGCCCATGGAGCCTGACTGTGTGTCTACATAGGCAGGCTTCCTTGTCCCACAGCTAAATCAGAACTTACTGGCTATTTTTTCCCTCTTGCATTACTAAGAGAAGCCAGCTTAATAACCCTAGATCGTGTGTGTGTGTGTGTGTGTGTGTGTGTGTGTGTGTGTCTGTGTGTCTGTGTTCCCCTAAAGCTCCAGGATGGTACAGAGTATTTCCTTTACCTCCAATAAAACAGGATTTCTTGCACTCTTTTCTTCCTGCCATGACTTTTTTTTTTGAATTGATTCCATCCCTGAAAGTTTAAGGATAACAATAAGGCAAGTCATAGAAGGGTAAAAATATGTTTAAATTAAGAGAGGACAGCACTTCTTTGAAGATAGGAGGAAAAGCTCCCTTAAAACTCAAAAGATTCAGGAGATCAAAGGGGTCAGGATCATCTGGGACTGACTCTCGGTGATAGAAAGAGCCAGGATTCAAGGAACCATTAGAAGAACTCGTCATTTCTGAGACTGGCAAAGAGATGCCAGCGTAGTCATCTATTGAAAGGAAGATATGGACAATTCCTGAGTAAGGGCTGGTTACCCCCGATTGGTTACCCCCCTCCTGTGAATGAGGCCACTAACTATATTAGCTATTCATTTGACATTTATCAAGGGGCTTCTCTTGTAGGGGTGGTGATCACCGAGACCACTCTTCCACATTGTCACTGTGTTCTAGCTACACTGTCATACAGTTAGCTCCAGAACATGCTCAGTAACCCTGTTTACGTCCTCCCCGTCCCGTTTCACATCTGTATTTCTCTTAGTCATTTGTAGTCACCTTTGCTCGATCCTCATCTGTACCGTAGCAGGACCTTTGTCCATCTTCCTTACTGCTGTGTTGCCAGCAAAGTGCTTGGCATATATCAGGTGCCCAAGAAACATCTGTCATATGCGTGAGTAAGTGGAACAACACGTCTAGGATATCCACTTTGAAGAGATTCCTAGGGAGTCAGAGATAGGTAGCTGTAAGTAGCAGGTGAATAAACCGGAGTGGGAAAAATCTGCTGACGACATGGTTTGAAAGTTCAGGAGGTGAATATGACAGAGAGTTCGAGAGAAGGCAATAATAGTATTACATACATCATAAGACACTTTCCTCCCCACTATATATTATGAGAAAATCAAGTTACTTATAGCTGTTAAATGGCTGAATGCTGTTTTCCCAGTGCCCCAAACACTCCGGGTTTTAAATGAGTTACCTATGGAAGGAAGATGAACATGCAGGTTCTCAGGGGTCACTAATAGCTATATTATCATTATAGTTTTAATTTAATGTATTGCGGAAAGGAAAGAAATTGTTAAATTTATTTTTATTTTTCTTCTTGCATTGCTGACTTCTTGAAAGGCTTTAAATCTTCATTTGCTCAGCAATGTTGAAATGAGCACTATCTGGGTGCTGCTCACTCTGCTGGGTCCTGGGGAACAGAGACAAGAGTAATAGCCACTGTTCTTCAGGGACTCACAGAGCAGTGGAGGTCAGCCTACTGGTAGTGAAGATAGGAAGAGAGAATGTGACGGGGAGTAGGGGGTAGGGGGCGAGCTCAGTTGTAGATGTGTTGGAATTTGTTCATCTAGGGGCACCAGTTATATTTGTGGAAAGTGGCATATATAGCGCAGGAGCTCAGGAAAAACTGTGCACTGGAGTTGTAGATTTGAGAATCTTTGCTTTATGATACTTCCTCAAGCCATGGGGATTGGTGAAATGTTCCAGAAAGCCAGCAGACAAGGCACCTGAGGAGAGAAAACATTAAAATGATCATCAAGGTTATCAATTGCTGATCCTTTGATAAAGAAAAGGTATCTTAGAGGCCCCTTAGATTCAATATGACTTTGAAAGTTACTTAATTTTCATCTAGGATATGATTTAGGCATTTGGAGATACCTCACTCATGGATGAATAACGTATAAAATGATTATCTTGTAAATTTATTAATATCTTTCCTGTGACGCATGCCTGTTATGTTTAAAATGTGATGTATTAATATTAGATTTAACAAAAATAAATATTACCTGGCATAAAAACTACTAGGTAGGTGTTCCTGACGAAAATGCATTTCAGCAAGAATTGGTTGAAAAGACTAAAGCCATGGGGAAGCTAAATATAACTAAAAATTCACAAGTTTCTCAAGTGTGTCTTAATTATTATCTATACTGTTAATTTCTGAAAACATCGGCACCATAAATTGTCAACATGTGCCTCTAGGATTTAAGCTGATGAAAAGATCTGATGGGCCAAGTTAATACAGGCTCACTAACACTTCTGGGAGTGGTTTGTACCTCTGGCTAGCTTTAAGAGCCAATTATGAATGTTGATGGTATTAGTTCCTGGAAGTAATAAAGAAAAGTATTTCAAATTTTTTGACCCGTTAAAATATTTTTGAAAATATTTGTAAATTTGTCAGGGTTTCATGGATCCATGGATATGGCCCCAAGGATATTTCATGTTAAGCATTTAAATTTTTTTTAATTGCTTAACAAACAACCTTAAAGTAACATTAATTGGTGGCAAAAGGAAAGAAAACAAATTTTCTGTATAGCATGGTTTCTAACTGAGGAAGTAGGTAGCAGTAGCAAACTGGCTGACTGCAAGTTAACTGGCAGAATATTTTCTTTGACTTGCGTTTAATTTATTTTTAAAATTTGAACACATTTAGAAAGTAGGGGAGCTAACCTCAACTTGCCACAGGCCTTGCCATTTCCTATTATTACACCTGGTCAGACTGAGACATTTTGCCTGCCTAGCCTTTATAGTCATTTAGTGTATAGCCTCTAGAATAGGCATGTTCTGTCTCCAAGCCAGGCTGGTTCTCTCTTGTAGATCTTACAACACAGATCTACTCATGCTTCAATCTTCAACCCTACTCAAAAAATGTTTATAGTCCATCTTTGTACAACAATTAAAAATTATAATAGTGAACACCTCCAAAATGGTGTGTTAATGTATAACTACAATAGCATTGACATGCAGAAAATTCAGGCTTCATGCTAAGCTGGGTTGATATAGGCTTAAGAAGTTTTGAAGTGACTCAAGTGTCCCTTGATGGATAAACAAAATGTGGTGTATACATACAGGAAGATTGTTCAGCCTTGAAAAGGAGGGAGATTTTGACGTGCTGCAGCATGATTGAGCCTTGAGGACATAATGCTAAGTGAAATTAGCCAGTCACAAAAAGACAAATACTGCATGATTCCATTTATATGAAGTATCTAGAGTAGTCAGATTTATAGAGACAGAAAGTAGAAGGGTGGTTGGCAGGGGCTTGGGGAGAAGGTAATGAGGAGTTATTTAATAGGTACAATTTCAGTTTTTCAAGATGAAAAAGTTCTGGAGATCTGTTGCACAACAATGTGAATATATGTGACACTGCAGACCTGTACACTTAAAAATGGTTGAGGTGGTGAATTCTATGTATTTTACCACAATTCAAAGAAAAAGGAAGATTTTAAGTGACTGGGACAAGATCTTGTATATGTATGTACCCAGGAGTTATATCTGTTATGTAATCTTCCTTTATTATTAAATTAATCATGAATTCAACCAATATTTATTGAATGTTGACTCTGTGCAGAGGCTGTGTGAGTATAGTGAGGCCATGGTGTCTGGGATAGACAGCGTGCCTCCTTCATGCAGCTTACATTGCAAGCTCACATGGATGATCTAGAAAACCTCTAAAAACACAAAATTTGTTCAACAGTGAGTTATTTATCAGCTTTGCACTTTAACTCAAATAAACTCCATTTGGATAAAAGAAGAAAAAGTAAACATTAAATAAAGAAAATTTTCTTCTTCTTTTTTTTTTTTTTTTTTTGAGGAAGATCAGCCCTGAGTTAACATCCATGCCAATCCTCCTCTTTTTGCTGAGGAAAACCGGCCCTGAGCTAACATATGTTGCCAGTCCTCCCCCTTTTTTTCCCCTTTTTCTCCCCAAAGCCCCAGTAGATAGTTGTATGTCATAGTTGCACAAAATAAAGGAAATCGTAAAGAGTACTTGAAAAAATAATGGGAGAATTGTTTTAACACTCTCAGAGTGGAACCAGCCTTTTTAAAATCCGACACAAAACCAGCAGCTGTAACAGAAAAGAGTGACATTGTTATCAAATTTGCACGTGGCAAGAATAACAAAGTCCTTCTCTGGACTCAGTTCCCTTATCTGCAAAATGGGAATACCCATCTCCTAGAATGGACTTCAGCATGAAATGGGATCATATGTACAGAGGCCCCCGGCACAGCACTAGGCACGTAGGAGCTGCTGAATAAGTGCGGCTTCCTTCTCCTTCAGCCACCCTCCCCTTCCTGTGCTCCTCCATTCTTTCATTTCTTTCCCCAGCCCTATTAAAGAACAAAACAAACAAACAAAAAGACATGGTCAAAAGATAAATGTTCAAGGAGAAACACGTTTGCAATTTACGTGAGATAAAGAGCTAAATTCCTTTTGAAAACACCTCATATAAATTAATGAGACCAAAATCTCAACAGAAAAATGGGCAAAATTCACAGAAAAGGAAATACAAATGTCTCAAGCTCATAGAATAATGCTCAAACTCATTCATAATAAGAGTGATTCAAATTAAAACTATAGATGAGATACCCATTTTCACCTAACACCCTGGTAAAGATCCAGATGGCTGATGGTTGTGAGTAGAAAAACAATCCCTGTGATACTGGTTTCTGAGAGGGGAAATTAGGGACAGCTTCTCCCAAAAACAATTGAACAGAATCTTTCATTATTTAAAATGCCGAGACCTCTTTTTGCTCGACTCCATGGAATTTATCCTACAGATATTTAATCACATGTATGATATATATACAGAGATAGGTAAGGCAGCAAGTTAAGTAATATCGAACTATTGGAAACTAAATGGCCATTATTTAATAGACAGGTTAAATGAATTATGATGCATTCTATACAATAAGATATTATGCATCCATTTAAAAGGATAAGATCGCTCTATTTGTGTTGCTAATGAAAGGTCTCTCAAAATCTATTAAGTAAAGAAGTAGGGTATAGAACCAAGTCTGTTTTTTTAAAAAAGATGAATGAAGAATATGTAGACTCGCATGTGCATAGACTATCCCTCAAGGAAACACCACCTAGTAAGGTGGCTGCAGGAGGAGACTGGGGAGCTGTGCACCTGGGGAGTCTAGACAGTGAAGGTTCAGAGGAGACCCTTGTGTACCTTGGGAACTTTGTATCATGTACGTGTATTATCTAGCCAGAAAAAAAAATTGATATTAAAAAATATTCAGTCTTACTCATTATCTATATTTGTTTATGTCCACTGAGTTTCAAATTAGGATTTAAGGAAGTTTACCAATATACATAAAGTAAATTAAGATAACACGAGTTACGTCTCCACGAGTTCTTCAGCCAGTACTAGAACAAGGAAACCACTCTCAGTATTGACCACAGTGGGACTTTATTCTAGGGAACTGGTTACATAGGTGCTGCAAGAGCTGAGGAGTTTCACAGTGGAGAGAGAGACAATCTAGAACTAAACAGCGACAGGATACTGTTGCCAGCTGCATGTTTGAGGGACAAAATGAGGCACTGGTGTTACTGGACCTCGGGATACAGCAGCTAGAACCCGGGTGAGCCTCTGTGGTGGGAGCCAGAGCTGGAGGAGGAGACGCTAACCAAGGCAGAAAGAGAGGGATAGAAATATGCTGGCTTTTCCCTGCCTCCCTCCTCCTGTCACCCACTGCTCCTTCCCATTGGCTGAGCCAAGCTGGAAGCCAGCTGGCCCAGGAGCCTTGGAAGCTTAGCCTACAAGTGTCAGCTCCCCTAATATACAGAGCAGAGATGGGGAAAAGCTGGCAATGGGTCTGAGGGCAAATAATGCAGGGCTGGAACACTGAGCAAAAATGTGGCAAAGGGAAAATCATGGCTAGGAAATAAGAGGGAGCCGGAATGAGACTAATCCCACCATTCAGCCATGGTTGCACACTCTTGCTGTGTTGCGTCACAAGTTGTGTTCAGTGTAGGTGTGAGCTGTCCTGGATCGTGTCATGCCTTGTTTATGATGCCTTCCCCTTGCCCCAGCTCACATGATGACAGCATACTGTGACATAGGCAGTTAATGAATGTTGATTGAAAAGAATGAATGAGTGAGTGGATGTCAAGCAGAGTGAGAAAAATGAAGTCAGGGCATAACATCAGGGAAACTGGATATTCTTGCTCTTTGTGGTTTATGCCTTTGGGACATAGGCAGTTAATGAATGTTGATTGAAAAGAATGAATGAGTGAGTGGATGTCAAGCAGAGTGAGAAAAATGAAGTCAGGGCATAACATCAGGGAAACTGGATATTCTTGCTCTTTGTGGTTTATGCCTTTGGGACAAACTGTTTTCAATTTGAACTGCCCTGTTCAGTAATTGTACTATTTAGAACTTTCATCTTCCTGTCTTGCAACAATTTCCATTAGACACTCAGTAATTGTTTCACAGATTATAGGTTTGGATTGATGAATATAATAACTGTTTTATTCCAGCATAATAAGGAAAACCTAGTCATTATAAACTCTCAAAATCATGTTTACCTTTTACTTAAATGGAGCTTGTTTGTATTAATTATCATAGCTCATATTGTGGCATAGCTCAGCTAATAGGGACATGACAGTTTACAAAAAGATTAACAACGTTTTTAGGCTGTACTGAAAATATTTTGTTTTATTGATAATGGCCTTTTCTAGTGACTAGAGAAAAGTTGAGCAATTCCTTCTAATGAATAGCAGTGGAAATTAAAATAATTATGCTTTTCTGTTTTTCCCTTCGGAAAACTTAACTGAAAATAAAGACGTAACTTGCTATTTTTAAGGTTTCATTAATCCAGCAAAATAAATGTTCTTTTACTGCTTTGGTGTAATTTCATTTCACTTGATCACATTTAGGCTGCAGATCAAATTAAGAAGCTGTATAATCTCTTCCTGAAAATTGATGCTACTCAGGTGGAAGTGAATCCCTTTGGTGAAACTCCAGAAGGACAAGGTAAAAAAAAAAGAGAGAGAAAACAAATGAATGTAATTATTTATGCAAACTATAAATTGTACAAAAGACTGTAGCAGCAGCTTTGCATTAATTTCTTTCAGTAATTTAATTTCTGCCATAGTTTCAAATGCTCCCGTGATACAGTTGAACATTTCAGCACTTGAGTTTGTAGCCAAATGCCAAGCCTCAGAGGAAGCTACTTCTTGTTTTATTTAGAAACATCCGTCCACAAGCACTCTCTCGTTTTTGGAGGCCCATTACTGCTGCTACTATGGTGAAGATTTGGGTGGCAATGGGAGCCACTGCATTTGGGTGCTTTTTATGGAACCGGAACTCCTTGAAGCTTTTTAGCTTACCTAAATCTGTATAAATTCACCTTGTGACCGCTGCTGGATTTACATCATCCTGGTGAAGCCCCTAGTGCCCCATTGTCCAGCTCTTTTCACTTTACTTGGTTACCAGCTTCCACTTCCAGTGGGAGAAGGAGGCATTTTTGTGGGGAAGGTTGTTCCTATCCATCAGGTACTTATACAGTATAAATAACTGTTTTATGTCTCAGCACCCACCACCATTGCACTATGTCTTGCATATAGCAAGTAGTCAGTAAGTTCTTACTAATTCGATAGCAAAAGCTTATGAATGTGTGTTTGGGGGTGGGGGATGGGATACCAGGTGGATAGGATAGTAATACCAGAATGTAAGTTCCCTGAACCTTGTTTGTTTAATACGTTTCACCCCCAGTGTCTTGCATGCTGCCTAGCGTGTTGTGGGAACTCAATGAATGGGGATTTGTCATTGGATTGGTAAATGAAGTGATCTATTATGTGCAAATACAACCAAGTTGTAGACCAGGGTGGATGGTACAGTGTTTTACAGAGAGGCCTGGGTTCAATTTCTGTATCTGCCGTGTTCTGGCCACAGACCTGGGCTAAGCCTCAGGGGTTTGTTTCTTGTTTTTGTTTTTTAATCCAAAAGAGTGGTAAAAATGATAACTATCTTGTGGGGTGGTTGTCAAAGTAAGGTGACTGGTGTTTGTGTAAGCATCCAGTGTCAGACACAAAATAAGCCAGTCCCTGACATTCATAAAATGTAGTTCCTCTTCTCAGATAGAACAAGAGTAGTCCAGGAAAGGTTTAGATTTCATCTTTTTGTCTATTTTTTCCTTTTTTGTTGTTTTTTTTTTAAGATTTCAGATTAGGACAGGCAAAGAGCTCATATTTAGGAAGCCATTGAAAATAATATATTTCATGGTTTACACAAGTGACCACCAGCTAAAAATCTGTGGTAGGTCATTTATAAGCAAGCTACCTTTATTCATAAATATTTAAAAAATTCTTTTTGGCTATAAAATCATCAATACTTCCTAGAGACAGGAAGTGAAGGGGAAGATAACTCTTTTTTGAACTCATACTCCAGGCACCGTGATAAACTTTTACGTACAGTTGGCCTTCCATATCTGTGGGTTTTGCATCCACAGCTGGGTATCAGAAGGTCTATGATGATTGTGTCTGTATTGAATATGTACAGACTTTTTTTTTCTTGTTATTCTCTAAACAATACAGTATAACATTTACATAGCACTTATGTCGTATTAGGTATTATAAGTAATCTAGAGATGATTTAAAGTATATGGGAGGATGTGCATAGGTTATATTGCAAATACTACTCCATTTTATATAAGGGACTTGAGCATCTGCAGATTTTGGTATTCATGGGGGTCCTGGAACCAATCTCCTGTGAATACTGAGGGACGACGGTATATAGCCACTCTGCAAAATCAGGAGTTGTTATCCCCATTTTATAGTGGATTGAAAAGTTAATGTGACTCCCCCGTGGGCAGCTAGTTACTAGAGCTGGGATTGGAACTCGTGTCTCTCTCAATGCGGTGTGTATGTTAATTCTGATATGCCAGACTGAGAGAGTAACGTGCCTTCTTTTCTACTTTTTCCCTCTTAAACTATTAATTTGCTTCCATCAGAATGCTCTAGAAGTAGTCTCCAGTTTGAGAATCCAGTTTGAGTCTCCAGTCAAAATCCATGCTTCATTGAGTGGCTGATAATTAAATCCAAGAAATGAAAGAGAGGGAAGTTCAATATAAGTTCTTATAGGTCATATATTGCTTTTCAAGCTAGTATGCACAAGCAACCAGGTTATTTCGTATTCAAAAAAAAATGGAAATTCAGCCATGGAGCATGAGGAAACTCAGGCTCTAATACTATTTTCATTCAACCCTTGGGGAGGTTGTCAGTCACAGACTGGGGTCTGGCTGGCAGCAGAGAATAGGGGCACGAGAACGTTTTCCTAGAGGGTATTTGTAAAACCTCATGAAATCTGAAGTTTTCTTTTTAATTATTAAGAGAAAGGAAAATTCTTGAGCTTTTTTGAAAGAATCATCGTAAAATACTTTCCATGTATACAGTTCATTAAAACGTAAGCCTTATGTAATATTTTTAAGAGCAAAATTATCTTTAGCTATTAATTTGTTAATTGTACCATAAAAGTTCAGCTATTGAATTATAATCACAATTAAATGAGTATGTTGGTTTATAACTCTAATGAGCAGTAGTCAAATTAAACCCAATTAGGAAACGGTGATTAATGACCAAATGTATAAATTGATCATCATTGTCACAATCCCCTAAAGCAATCCTTTGTGTAGGAGCCGTAAAAGCAGTCATTTGTATCTTAGCAATATTGATAATCTTAATATTTGTAATCTGAATATTTAAATTTTTTCCATTTAGACCAGTAATAGCAGAATATGTAACCTTTCACACTGAAACTTTGATTTAATAATTACTCTTTTAATTTAGAAGTTTAAGGAGCTGGCATCACACCAAACATTGTTACTTTAAACTTATTTATTGCAGAGCCTCTTTGTAAGAGAATTTTTTCAGTCTTTCATTGTTTGATGAGGAACATTTAAAAAAATTCCAGGTAATTGGTCATGTATTTGCACAACAGATGATATCTGCTTGAATGAAGAGCAGTGGCCTTGATAACATTTTTGCTGCTGGGTCACCCGTGGGGACTTTTTGGCACGGAGAAACAAGTGCAGTCCAAGAAATATTTTTTCCAATGTGATTAATAGTCTGATTCAAAGAATATGATTTGGTGATGCTAACTGTAATGTAGTTTAGTGACTATTAGTTAGGATTATAATGGTTGTTAGTGACAGAAACCTATACTAGCCTAGTTTTTGTTAAAAAGCCCCCCGGGGAAGCGGGTACTGACTTTACTCATTAACAGGGAAGTCTAAGGCATGAAGGGAATCAGAGATTCTCTGGTCTTCCAGCCCTGCTTGCCTCTAACTCAGCTTCTTTGTCAGCCAGGCTCTCCAGAACTGTCAGCAAAGATGGCTCCCAGTTCTCATCACTCTCCTCCAGCAACCATAGCAATCTTTTCAAATGATTCTGAGTGGCCCTGCTTGGGTCACATGTCCAGACCTAGATCAGTCATTGATCTAGAATCACGTGGTATAGGAGAAAGGCAGTTTCTCAATGGAAAAAGGGACACTGAGTCAAAACATGTCTACCAGAATGACCTAACTTACGTTGAAATGAAAGTAGTGTTAAATAGTCAAAGACAAATTAACTATTTTCTTTGCCTGTCCAATTGCAGTGCCAGAATTAATTCATTAAACCTGTGGCCAAATTAGAAGAAAGGTTTTCTTTATCTACCTATCCGTTCATTCATTCATTTTGCAAGCCACTGTGAGATTTTACGTCCTATTTCGTTTCTTCCCACTTTCAGCTGGATCTGCCTGTGTACAGACTCCTTTCTTTAGTGTCTTTAAAACAATATTTCTCAATGAGGAGGGTGGACATTTTGTCTTCCAAATGGACATTTGGCAATGTCTAGAGACATTTTTTTAATTGAGATATAATTTATATATAATATTATATTAGTTTCAGGTATACTACATAATGATTCAATATATGTATTTATTGTGAAACGATCACTACAATGAGTCTAGTTAACGTCCATTTTTGTTTGTTACAACTTGAGGTGCAGAATGCTACTCGCTTCCAATGGGTAGAGACCAAGGATGCCACTAAACGTCCTATAATGTACAGCACAGCCCCCCTACAACAGAGAATGATCTTGCCCAGCATGTCAGTAGTCCCGAGATTAAGAATTCCTGTTCTAAGGCGTCTTTGTCAGTTGGAGCCCAAATCCATTCACTGAGCAAAAGGAGTGAAACCCAATTTAAATCAGTGACTTTCTGGCCAAGATTCCATGAGAATTAAGGCTGGATGATCCAAAGTTAACTGGCACTTTCTTGCTTCAGATTAATTTCCCTAAATAACTACCCTGTTGCTTCGTGTTAGCAAGTGCCCATGTTGTTGGTGGGTGTTTCTCTCTTTAAACACAAGACTATTTTCAAGAACATTTTCAGTTCTCTGCCTCCCCCAAACCCTCCTCCCGCCTTGTATCTATTTTCTCTTTTCACAGCAACTAAAGAAAAGTTCTAAAAAGTATACAACTCTTAGAACATCAATATTTAGTGGGAAGTGGGACTAATTTGCAAGTATCAGCATTTAAAGGCCATCTTGGCAAGGCGTGTTTCAATGGTGCATTATGGTTATTTATCACAAATCAAATGCAATACATTGCTTGAAGACAGATTATTTTTCAAACTAATTATGACAGTTTTATTTCCTGCTGTTTTTATGCTTCTTTTATGTGTGAGTCTCCCCTCTGAAATGTATTTTTCTTTTGTTTAATTCGGTGACACATTCTTCTGTTAAAACTGTAGGGTCAGAGGCCGCTAACTGCCAGTCATGTTCTTCGTGGAGGTTGTTGAATTAGCAGCTCACAGAATCTCACACCACTAAACAAAACAAAAACACTCTATGAATATAAGTACTGCAGCTTTCTTTGATATTTTTTCAGAAGGAAAATTCATTTGTATGATCTATCAAGCATATAACAATGTGCTTTTGATGATGAAAATTGTTTTATAAATATTAAAAGGTGTGTTTTTTTCACTCACTTTGTACACAGAATGGCCTTTGTTCAAGATGAATTTTCTATAGAACTGAGGTTTCGTTAATGTGACATTGAAAATCTTAATGTCTGAACCAAGCTTAGCACCTCCAAAATTACATTTTACCGTAGTTTGTTGTTTTATTAAATGAAAAAGCCAAAGTTTGAGCAAGCAAGTTTATTTTATTGCCCTGCTGTTTACATAGACATCAATCCATTTTTAACACAGCAGTTCTAGAAGTGTTCTTGGTGGGGTCTTACTGGGGGAGATGAGCATATAAGAGTCAATCAATATTCAGGGATTAACCTGTTCCTTTTGTGCGGGCTGCAAGTTTTTGTTTATTCTGTTATAATTTCTTGTTTTCATGATAGTAGGATGCACTTTTCTAAGTTTCTCCTTCGTTATAACAAATATACCTGTGGCTGTTATATCAGTTGTTAAAGCAGGATACAAATGTAATGAGACTCAGCAGCGATTGGCAGCCTTTTTCTGTAAAGGGGCAATTAGAAAATATTGTGGGGTTTGTGGGCTGTGTAGTCTCTATTGTCACTACTCATCTCTGCTGTTGTCTTGGGGCAGCAGCCATAGAAGTATATCAATGAATGGATGTGGCTGCATTCCAGTAAAACTATATTTACAGAAACAGGCAGTGAGCTGGCCAGAGGGCCGTCCTTTGCCACCTCCTGACTTAGATTCTCATTTGGGGCTGTTTTATACCAATCTTTAGCCACATTGGCTTTATGCAAAGATGTGGTGTGATTTGAGATTCACCAGTGGCATCTCTTTCCCCTCGTCCTTTAGGCAAAATTCTCCTGCTCTGTTAATTACAAAGCCTGAAATCCCAACCTTTAAAATTCTTCCTGTGGGAAAATTCTTATGTGTTCAGAAGATGGCGTTTTACTGAAAACTGTAGATAATCTGTATGTATGTAAACTCCAATATACATTAGTTTAGATTTACTGTAAACAGAAGTCTGAGATTATAAGGGAATGGGACAAAGTACAGGTCATTTTTAGTGAGAGGAAGAGAGGAGAATCCTGTAGCCTGGGCTGCTGTGGAAGCTCTAAGAAGCACTGTGCATGTAGAGGATGGCAGTGGTGATGATAATAACCAACAAGCGCCACCTGTCTGGGAGGCCAAGTGCTTTGCACAGTCTCTCCTTCCACCAACACCATGCAGTAGAAAATACTATGATCCCCATTTTATAGACAAGGCCACCAGGCTTAAGAGAGGTTATGGCTACCTGGCTAGGAAGTGCCAAGGTTGTAATTCATACCAGGTATTTTTGATGCCAGAGTCTACATTAAGTGGTCAAGTTCAAGGAAGAACTTTCAGGTGATGCAGCATTATAAACTGAGATAGTAAAGCAGGAAAGCCCTTTATATGTTAGGGACTACTTTAAAAATAGTAAGCAGGTATAACAAATATGTGTCTGAGAGAGCCCACTTACCTCCTTAAAGTGCTTAACCCCCCCCCCCCCCAAAAAAAAGCGATTTAGGATTTGAGGGTGGCAATTCAGTTTTGGATCACCTTTCTTAACTCCTAAGACCTCTCACTTACTTCTTATTTATGTAGTGTTTTTAACTTCCCAAAGCACTTGGACATAACATAAATGGACCTAGTTATGTTATTTAGTTTTCTCTACAGAGGGAGAAAAATTAGCAAGGGGCCATTGTAGATACACTTTTTATCCCACAAGTATACCTATAGATACACCTTTTATCCTACAGTTACCACCTTCAAGCCCTGGTTTAACTCTAAAGCTTTCTCCAGGTGGTCACTAAATAGTGGACTCATTTCTTTCCTTGGCATATACATCTTACCGCAGGAAACAGCATCTTTTGAAAATCTAGCTTTGCAGGCGTTTAGCTGGGACTGCCTTCTGAGTTTTGCATACATATCTGTTAATTATGCCCTCTCTCAAGTAGCTTGTAACTGTAGTCTTTGTAAGGGTCAAAGATCAGCCTGGACCTATTTTCATTTACTAGTTTATTAATCTTGACCAAGAATTCCTTTATTTGAAACTCTTCACTTAGGAAGTCAATTTGATAGCCTTTGCCCATTCGTTTTGAAGGTGTCGGTTACAAGTAGTCTTGCCAATGAGTAATGGAGGAGCTAAAATTACTAATAGATTAATTAAAATATCTTTATAAACCCAGCAGAAAGCCAAGAATGAAGTTGCTTTCCTATTGATTATTATACAGGTCATTAACTGCTAAGAAAATGCCATTGTAGCAAGCAGAGAACACTGGCCAATTCCTTTGGTAATTGTAGGATTCCATCATTAAGATTTCAGTATTCTGGAAAGTAATTACTCGTTTGCTCCACGTATTCACAGTGTGTGTGGGTAAAGTGGTTGGACGTCTTGTGGCAAGACTAAGGATTCAGGCAGACATTAACTTGCTTATAAGATTCTCTCTCATCAGTCAGTGTTTCTTTAAGTAATTTGTGGTTTGGACTTTCATTTATGCTGAGTATTCTTAGACGTTAATATGCCAGTTCTGCACAGATTCGTATCAAAGTGCTTGATTATTGTGGTAGAAAGAGACCCTTGGAAAAAACTCTCTACCTTGGGGGTCTATAACTCTACAATGCTCTAATGTAACAATATTTTCTCTTCATAGGAAGCAGATGGGATTAACAGACTATGGTCATTGGTTTTGAGTGAAATATGCTGGGGTGGTTGTTTCCCTTTCAAGAGTTAGGTGCCTATAAGCAATGTTGAAAGAGAATGGGTAGTATCTCTAAATTCTTGGTCAAAAATCCCTGCCTATCAATATCCCAAGTAAGGTAATAGAAGATTATTATGTAATGTCATCACAGACAGCTAATTTCTACCCTAAGTGATATGATAAAAGTGAGCAGATCTCAGAAACCAGCGTACCACCTCTCTCCACTGCAGCCTCTCCCTGGTTGTACATATAGAAGATCTAATGCAAATACAGCAAAGTGCTCTGTGGTCCATCCCTATCACCAAGTGAGTTTTACTGTGTCCAGGGCTCCTGGCCAATAAGAGAGTTGGAGATTTCTATCAGCACCAGAGAGTGCACACAGCAGTGCTGATAATGCCTGGCAACCTTCCATTGTAACTGACCAGTCTTGGTCTCTTAGTGTCATAAGATGGTCCTGCTCACATCAGGATGATGGTCCTTGTTTTAGCAGATCTCAAAGTAAGCATACCAGCACTCTAGGGATTGTGGTTTCCATGTTCCAAATAAGAAAACTGAGGCCCAGAGGAAGTAGGTTATTTTTATTGAGGTTACAGAGTTAGTTAAGTATCAAATAATTAAAAACCCTGTTGATTCTGGCCCAGTGTTCTTTCCACTGAATCTTTGAGAAATGTTAGTGAGGATACTGATTAAATGAAAATTTCACTTTGCAACATCAGAAGAACGACAAAGGAGGACAACAGGATTAAGCATTTTCATCTAGTCTCTCTTAAGGGAAAGGTGATGATCAGCGGTTAAATACTAAAAATAAGAAATGTAATAAAAATGGCAAATCAAAGCTGTATGTAACTGTGGCGGTCTGTAGCTTTTAATGGGTGACAGCAACTTACTTGGTATTTTATAGAACAGAGAACAACAGATATAAATTACTATGGTCTTTATTGGCATGTAAGTCCTTTGAGAACAGGGACCATGTCATATTTGTCTTTGTAGCCCTAAAGTTTAAATTAAGGTCAAGAAGGCCATAACAGCTTCTCCTGCCTGTATCATGAGAAAAAATGATTATATCTTACTTTTCTTTCTCCCGTGCCTGCCAGCCTGGAGAACTTAATTTATAGATCCTTAAGAGATTCACGTGTGTTCCTTTTTTCCTTTATTTAGTTGTCTGTTTTGATGCCAAGATAAACTTTGATGACAACGCAGAATTCCGACAAAAGGACATATTTGCTATGGATGACAAATCAGAGAACGAGCCCATTGAAAATGAAGCTGCCAGATATGATCTAAAATACATAGGACTGGATGGGAACATTGCCTGCTTTGGTGAGAAATTGGTATATCAAAAGAATGATTTGTGGGGGCTAGCCTGGTGGCATAGTGGGTAAGTTCACGCGCTCCGCTTCAGCAGCCTGGAGTTTGCAGGTTCAGATCCTGGGCGTGGACCTACGCACCACTCATCAAGCCATGATATGGTGGTGTCCCATATAAAGTAGAGGAAGATGGGCCCAGATGTTGGCTCAGCGCTAATCTTCCTCAGCAAAAAGAGGAGGGTTGGCAATGGATGTTAGTTCAGAACCGGTCTTCCTCACACACACACAAAAAGAATGGTTTGTGGATTTTTGCAGAATTTAGGAACCCCTGATTTCTGGAATGTTATTTCTCAATAGCCAGTAAACATATGAGGTTTTTTGTATACCAAAAGTTTTAGGAAACCATTCAAAGTTTCTTCCTAAAGTTCACTTTGGTCAGTGCTCACTGGTTTAAAGCAGTTTCTCAACTCAGGCACTATTCACATTTTGGGTGGGATAATTGTTTGCCGAGGGAGGCTACCCTGTACGTTATAAGATATGTAGCAGTGTCCCTGGCCTTTATGTGCCACTAACAACCCCAGTTGTGATAACCAAAAATGTCTCCAAACATTGCCAGATATCTTCTGGCAGGCAGAATCACCCCAGTTGAGAACTGCTATTCTAAAGTATCTCAGTTAAACTTTGCTTAGTAAAAATCGGAACTTTTGCTGCTCCAGTCAATATGCCACGAACTATTCTGAACTTTGGGTTTAAGATAAAATTACTTTCTCAGAGGACGTAGAAGAGAAAGTATACTTTAATCATTATGTTCAAGTTTCAGCTTGTGTGATAACCAAATGATAAAATGTTTCATCTATTATGCCAGTTTATTAAAACAGCAATTGATTTCATCATACTCATCTAGATTTGTGAAAATGGCTTAGTCAGATGAGATAAGAATGGGTCTATAGAGGCAATACAATTTCTGCTATTGTCCACAGCTTATAGTACTGAGATTTATTCGCTTCTGTGTTTCTGGTGGAACCAACTCATTGCACTGGAAACTGAGGTCTGAATCTTAATGGAGTTAAAATAAAAAAGATTTGTAGCTCATTAAACCAACAGTATCATTATTTTCAGAACTGAACAGACCTCATCCAATAGTTTGCTCATCAATACAATAGGAAATGACATCCAATTACAAGTGCTACCAAAAAGCTCTTGCTTTGTTTTGGAGCAATAACTGTAATGTACCATATCACTCACATCATTTGATCTTGATAAGTTAATGTGCTCTCAATATTTGTAGGTATTTAGAAAGAAGAAAGATATAATAGTGTGTTTAGAACAAATAAAATACAGATGTATTTGTATTTGTAGCCTCTGTAGGAGTGTGTATGATTTGACCAAGTTAGCAGCCTCAAAAACTATGATTAACAAATTTCAAATTGTTTTAAGATCCTATATAAACCATTTTTATTTTAGTTACCCTAGACTTAATTAAATTAGTCACAGTTCATAGGCTTGTCTGGGCAATTCAAGGGTCAGAAAAAGTGAAGGATACTTTACCTTGAGAGTTTCTGGTGTATTCAGAAGATTTTTTTTGCTTTCTAACCTGAGGAAAGTAATTTTATGTAATTAAGTATAAAAAGCGGGCTGGCCCCGTGGCTTGGTGGTTAAGTGCGCACACTCTGCTACTGGCAGCCTGGGTTCGGATCCCGGGCACACACTGACACACCGCTTCTCCGCCCATGCTGAGGCCGCGTCCCACATACAGCAACTAGAAGGATGTGCAACTATGACATACAACTATCTACTGGGGCTTTGGGGAAAAAAAAGGAGGAGGATTGGCAATAGATGTTAGCTCAGAGCCGGTCTTCCTCAGCAAAAAGAGGAGGATTAGCATGGATGTTAGCTCAGGGCTGATCTTCCTCACCAAAAAAAAAGTGTAAAAAGCCAAAGAAGTACAATTGATCAGTAAAACTTAGCTCTGGAAAATAAAAAATTTTGCTGATAACACTCTGCTTGGCTTCTTAAGAAAAGCTCCTAAGGTGTTGGCACATTCTGGTTTTAGTTTTAATGATGAAGTTGCTAGTGAACATTTTTTATATTAATTTGAAAGAGGAATGCGGGATAGCAATATTGTTTTGATGCTGTTATTTGTTCATTTGTTTTCTGTTTATCCAGAGAACTTATAAACATGCGTGGTTGTGCTAAGTGTAAAAAAGTATGGAACCCTATTGAAGTTGGGACCCCTGTGGCTCAACCCCAGACGGATGCCACATTTAAAGGAGCATATTCTCAGCAAGCAAAAAATGAAAAGAATTCCATTCTTTGCTTGAGTCTCTTAAAGGATATTAAAAAGAATGTAATTCCTAGGCCCTAGCAACTTCTCATAGCATTTTTCTCTCTTTCCCCCTTCTCTTGAACTCTATTCTTTCTAGAACCTTAAACTTCTTCCTCTACTACTAGCCCATATTGGTTACTTACTTAAATTCTTCCCTTCTTTCTGTTTCCCACATGATTTAACTTCTCAATAAAACCTCCCCATTCCCAGGTCTTTTTTGTTTGTTCTTTTTAATGTACCTTTCCTGATTCTTTATCCTAAAAATCTGTGAACTTATCTGGTTGAATGGAATGTGAAATAGGGCAGAAATTGGCCTGGTCATGATAGGGTTCTCTTTTGGCAATATGGGGGAGGGGAAAAGTTTATACACCCTTTCATTTGCTAAATTTATCCTGTCTTGTGTGCCATTTGCATTTTACAGTGAATGGTGCTGGACTCGCCATGGCTACTTGTGACATCATTTTCCTGAATGGTGGGAAGCCAGCCAACTTCTTGGATCTTGGGGGTGGTGTAAAGGAAGCTCAAGTGTATCAAGCATTCAAATTGCTCACTGCTGATCCTAAGGTAACCTCTTTCTTTGTAGGGAGATTGCATAATGTTCTGATTTCTCACCATCAACAGCTACCGTGTTCCTGCTGCTAACAGTAGCACGGTTCCTGCATAAGCCAACGCATATACTCTGCAGCCCCAGATGCAAATCTTGCCTTATCTCTCATTGGAGTACACGATAATTTAACTCATATTGGGAGAAAGGCTTATAAGTGCCCCCAGGATCTTATTTCAGAGGCCGTGCTTACAAAGTTCTGGGAGGTGAGAGGAAATAAAAAAGGTATAGTGCACCAAACAGTGAAACACTGGTTGGCATGAAACATTATTTGGGTAATTTACACTGAAGCGATTAGTCCTATGCTTCCATGTCTTAGAGAGGACTCAGTCTCAGATTCCTTCTGTAAAAATGCTGAAAGTATTATCATACGATTGGAGATAGAAGAATGTCATAGGACTATATTATTGTATATCATTGGAAAATAATGACCCCGTCTCCTTCTGTATGCCTTTTAATTTTCATCTCTGACGGTTATGTATGTTACAGTTTATGACATAAGCCCTCAGTGCATATAATGTTGCTTCATGTACATCTTTTCTTCTTAACTAGAATGTAGCTGTCATACCCATGCTAGGTGCATAGTAGGTATTCAGTAAATATTTAATCAATTTAAATATCAGTGTGCTTTTTTCCCCTGCAGGTACTCGGTTATCTATGATAACGCCATTTAGGTAGACATTTATTATGTGGAAAAGACTAAAATTTTTTAAATGTCTGATGTGTATCATCTAATTCTCTTAACAGTTCTGGGGGGTAGTGTATATGTCTCAACCATTTGATTTTAAGCTTTATTTGACAATCATTATCTTGATATTATTAGAGTATCTAATACATTCTTTTGGTTCCTGACATGTATGAAGACATGGGAAATCTGAACCATCACTAAGAAAATCATGAATGAAGACAATACCAGATACTTTTTTAAAGAAATGTGGTCTGAACTTAATATGGAAACTTCCCGTTAATAAGTATATTGGCAATAGCCTTTTTGGGATCCCATGCATAAAATTTTGTCTTATATTTTGGTAGTATGCTTGTCTGTTCTCATTATGACTTAGGTAGTTGGTAACCTTATGTTTTTGCTAACTCTTTTCCTTCTGATTCACAAAATAAATGGTAAGGTATTACCAGCTACCTATCTTCAGTTCTCCAGTGCTGGTCAGGAATAGCAAAGTCATTGAATTCCAAGGTCACCCTGCCATGAAGAAAGTGTTTGGGGTTGATTTTTCTGTTTACATGAGTACCTTGTTTTCATTGATTAAATAGGAGCATTATCAGAGGCTCCCTAATCATTTATTACTTCATTTATCCCTTCTTCCTATTCCTTTCTAAGAGAAGAATCATTTTCCTCCCAGAGATTTTCAAGCCAATTGAAATCTGAATAACATGGATATAACACACAGCTCTTTAAACTGCTTGAACCACAAAGTGCCCAGAGGACAGGAAACTGTAATAAAATACTGAACTTTTAGTGTCTACTGCAATTCAGTGCTAAGGATAATAGAGAGCCATCGAGGGATTAAATCTACCAGGACAATCATTGCATTTTTTTTTCAGAATATCTTTTCTTAGCAGCTGATCCAGAATTTTAATTTTATAAAAGTACAGGAGGGGAATGAAAAATCACTTGCAGAGCCTTTTTATTTTTTTGTTAAACAACCTCTTCAAAAATTTTGACTTTACCCTATGGAATATTTTCAAATGCTTGGAGTAGTTAAATTTTTTTGAGTTTGGCCGTCGTTGGGTAGATAAAGGTGTGTGGGAGTTACTTTATTTTTCTCATGCTATATCAGGAAAATGAATGCATAGCTCCAAATCTTGAAATTTCAAAGCCAGTTAAAAAGCATAGAAATGTAATGGGTATTTTCAGTCCTGGCATTGTTGCACAGATTTCAGAGAACAGAGGCTAAAAAATAGTATAGATGAATTGATTTGATTTTGCGAGGAAACTGGTTGTAGTTCTGGCAGTAATTATTTCAAGTAGAACCCCATCCAGCTGCCCAGAAGTAGAGATTCCCAAGAGCCCAAAGCTAATTATTTCAAAGGTATTGATTTTCTTGTTAGATATAAGGATTAGTCAGTTGACTACACCAAAACTCAAAATTACAAGAGGCCTTTGTTCTTAAACTTAAATCAACTGATACTAACAGCCACTTGTTTGTCATATGTACGAACTAATTCTATTGACCAGGCAAGAACCATTTAAGAAAAATATTATGGATTGACATATATTTCTACTCCTAATGTCAGCCATAGAGCTGGAACTGATATTTATTTTACTTGACTATTAGCCCAAATGCTGATTTTCATTGGGACCTAACATAAGTGTCTTTATAACTAATGTGTTTGTAATATATATGAAATGGAGTTCTTCTGCCAAACTGTCTAAAACAAGAGTCTTTCCAAGATAGCTCACTTACTAAACTGGATTCACATGAAGTGTATCATTAAATATTTTATAGTTCTCTTATTTTCCAGCTGGGCATGAGATGAGAGAAAGGTAATAGAGTTTGTTCTGCTGGTGATAGAATAGATCTGATCTGATCTTCATCATTTTTGACTTACAGAACTCTAAACACTAGTATTCTTAAAATCATAGGGAGTAAAATGATATAAAATAGGAAGTAGAAGTAGGATTTTGTGGTAATCTGTAAAGAATTTGAACACATTTAAAGGAAAAACACCATAAAGAATGTTATCCTTAGGTTTTTGTTTTCCTGAATCATGCTTTGGCTTTTATTTCTAATTCTAAACTTAGAATTCCAAAGGTGTAGAAAATGAGTACAACATCTGGAGTATGGAAAACATTTTGCATAAATGAATAAAAGGAAAAGACAGTTGACATGAATCTCAATAGTAACCCCGACTCTATCGGCCATAGTTAAGCAGATCTGCTGCTCTCTGGAGGCCTGATTTTGAAAAGCAGTAGTGTATGATTGGTGTTAGTGAGGTCACCTTGCTTGATGTGTGCTTCCTGGTTTAGAGCAAACTTAGAGTTATGTTTTCAAAGCCCTTTAAATGTACAAGAAGAATGTGCTCCATAAGCACCAAGTACTTGTTCAAAAAGGAAGGGATTCTTAGTGTGGCTCTGGTGCCAGGCTGCCTGGGTTCCAGTTCTTTCTTTACCACCTATTAGTTGTAGGACTTCGGGCGTATTATTTACCTTCTATTTGGTTGTATTTCCTCATTTACAAGATGGAGATAATAACATGTATTTATTATCTCCGAGGGTTGTTTTCTTACGTGAATTGAGATACATACACATACTTCCCATTTAGAGGGGCAATAATTTCATATGGCAGTATCATTTAACAATTTTAATAAACGTTTATTGAAGTGTAACATGTATAGAACAGTATACAGATCCTTTAAGTATGTAGCTTGATGAATTATCACAAAGTGACATACCCATGTAACCTCCAGCCAAATCAAGAAATAGAACATGACCAGTGTTGTGGACTGATTGTATCCCCCCAAAATTCATATGTTGAAATTCTAACCCCCAATATGTTGGTATTAGGACATTGGGCATTTGGGAGGTAATTAGGTCATGAAGGTAGAGCTATCATGAATGGGATTAGTGCTCTTTTAAAAGAGACCCCAGAGAGCTCTCTTGTCCCTTCCACCATGTAAGGATATATTTAGAAGGTGGCTATCTATGTACCAGGAAGTGGGCTCTCACCAGGCATTGAATCTGCCGGTGCCTGGATCTTGAACTTCCCAGCCTCCAAAATTGTGAGAAATAAATATCTGTTGTGTAAGCCACCCAGTCTATGGTAGTTTGTTACAGCAGCCTGAACAGACTAAGACAGTCACCATCCCAGAAGCCCTTTATGCACCCCCCTTACTTCTCCTATCCTGCTTTCTCCCCAAAGTTAACCACTATCCTAACTTCTGATATCATAGATTTGTTTTACCTGGTTTTGAGCTTAATATAAATGGAATCATACAATATATACTCTTTTGTGTTTGCCTTCTTTCATTTAAATTTTATTTGTAAGATTCATCTACATTTTATGTCATAGTGGTTCACTCATTCATATTGCCGTGTAACGTTCTATTGTATGACTCTACCAGAAGTTTTTTATCCTCTTCTGTTGATATACATTTGTGTTATTCTCAGTTTCAACTATTGTGAATAGTGTTGCTATGAACAGTCTCATACGTGTCCTTTGGAGCACATTTCTGTGACGTATATACTTGGAACTAGAATTTCTGGGTCATAAGCTATGCATATATTGAATTGATACTGCCAAACAGTTCTCCAGATGTACCAGTTTCCACTCTCATAGCTGTGTAAGGGAGTTCCAGTTTCTCCACACCCTCGTCAACATTTGATATAGTTGTTTCAATTTTAGTCATTCTGGTAGATGTATTATAGTGTTCGTTGTGGTTTAATACCTTTCTAGTGAGAATGAACACCTTTTCATATACTTATTAACTATGTGGATATACTCTTTAAACTTCTGTCACCTGGTCTGTAAAGTAGACATGAAAATAATACCCCAAAACATTGTTTTAAGTGTCAACTGAGATAATATATGTGGAAGTACTTGGCAAACGTTTCTAAAACACAATGAAAACTTAAATTTGTGGGGTGTTTTGAGTGTTCAATTCTATTATCATTTCTAAAGCTTACAATTAGAATTATTGAAACAGTAGAGAGTAAATGCTCATCTACAGAAATGGGAGGTGTCTGAAACAGATTCGTTGACAGCAGTGTTACTGCATGCGTTATTTTGAAATTGATGAAATCTGTAAGCATTCGGTAGCTTGCAGTGATTCTCTGTTTAGACAACCAAGAAAACACAATTTAATAAAGGGAGGAATAAATTCATGTTTGAAAGAACCACAAAATATCATTTGGTATAAATTTAAGAAGAGGCCAGCTCTTTTAGCTGTGTGGTATGTGCTCTAAAAGTCTTACAATTTGAGGCCAGAGAAGTAAAACTGCATG